AGATGCTTTGCGCAAGGACCAAAAACAACGACAACAACACGAGCAGCAGCCACTGTCGCAAAGGCAGGCAGGCAGCAGGATTACCCAAAAAGGCAAAAACAACAGCAAGAGCAAGGAAAGCAACAAAAGAGCCGAATAAAATAAAAACACATAAATAATAAAGTAGGCAGCCGCACACTCAATTACCAAACGAGAAGGCAAAGGCCTCCAACGGCCGACTGAGCTACCTGACCGAAGCAACGTCGCCGCCGCCGCTGCCGCCAACAACAGCAACACCTGCCGCAGTCGCAGACTGGCGCGTGCGACGCTGCAGCGGCAACAGCAGAGACACCAACAGCCTCACGCTTCATTAATAAAGCAGGCAGCACGCACAGGTGGCAGGTAGCCGCCTTGTAATTGTGGCCAACACACACACACACACAGGCGCACAGTGCAAGACGTTATCGTTGCCTTTGTTTTGCTACGCTCATTCGTATGCTGCTGCCGAATTATGCGACTGCGACGCTAGCAGCGAAGTCGTAGCGTCAACTGTGCACTCTCCCGCAATGTCTCTCTCTCTCTCTCTCTCTCTCTGTGTGCGTGTCTCTCTCGAAAAAGCTCTCTTTGTAGACTTTGTAGAATAATCTCTGGCTTTCATGCACATTCTACATGCGCACATTTCTTTTGGCCACCGGCCAGCAACCGCTGCGTCGGCCTCTGCGGCCGGCCATGCTCACATACATACATACACGTACATATGTGTATTGTGTCGTCCTTATTACCAAGCCATCGAGAACTCGAGCGAGCGCCAAAAATAAACATGAATAAATTCGCAGCATTGTTTATTTGATTTTGAGAGAATTTGCCAAACTATTTTTACGCTCCAGCCTCTGTGCTAATTAATGGAGGCCCTGCCGCGTCTGTGACCCAAATGCTGTCGTCTTTCCATTCGATTTGATTTCCACGCTATTTCTATTTTGAACTTCTGCATTTCTCTTGTTTGATGTTGGGCCGACAGATGAAAAACAGAAAGACAGAAAAAAAACAAAAATATGTTTAAATGTTTGCGTTGAACTTGAAATGGTTGCTGGCTGGCTGCTTTGGTGGTTGTGGTGGCTGTAAATGCCTCGCAACGAATATCTCTAGCAAGGCTTTTTACAAGTTCATTTTCGAATTCATTGAGTAAATGTGCTGTTTTAAATTTGTTTGTGGGTGTTCCGAATTAAAAGCAAACACATACACACACACATACGTATATGTTGTTTTTTTTAATAAATACAGTTTTAGAAAATAAAAGAGTTCGTATTGCATACATATTTTCGGCCCGAATATCATTTCATATTCCGGCTATTAAATATTCGATTAGATACCACCAAATACCTTTATTATTAATGTAATGTATTATTATTTGTCATCGGCCTTTTGGACGTTTCTGTAGTGAAGTGCATTCAAAAGGATGATATAAAATTGGTCCAACTCATCAGCTTTTGTCCTGTACTTCAGAAAAATCTCTATATCACTTAGATGACCATATTTAAGGCGCCTTTAAAATACATTTTTATGATTTATAGACTCGTTCGATATATTCGATAAAGCCAACTATTAATCAAACGAAATATTGAACTCAAGGGTGCAATGGTTTTTAGGAGACTTCGGGCTCAGATACGTGGCTGATTAACCCCTAAGCCAACAGACCATTGTAGATGAAATATTCTCAGGATTTATTAGGATGATAATTATTAATTTCATACATAACATATATATTAAATATTTTAGTAGCGGGATCCAACTTAAAGAAGTGCCTTTTATTCATTTAAATGAGAAAATTATTTCAGGGTTAAACATACTATGTATTCCTCCTTTATATAAACAATCTTAACGATCATTATATTTTATCTGATAAAATGTACATATACATACATATTATATTAGGTCACTAGCTTTTGAGGTTTCACTAATAAATCATGTGTCGCTTAAACTTTCACGTCTACAAATTTTCTTTGTATTCCAATATAAGGAGCCAAGACCACTTCGCAACGCACTCTCATTAAAAAGAAAATGCTATATCCACAACCATTTATTTAGCATCGATAGCTTCAATTAGTCACTTTAATTTAATCTATTAGATTTTCCCGATTTTTATTTCCTAATTTTTCACGGTCGCCGCAGCTCATAGATCTTTATCCCAAGCGCTCAGAATGCTGGGTGATGATCATGATGCCAATGGCTCGTGATTACTTTAGTGATGGACGTACATATTAGAAGAAGAAACCATAATTAATCTTCTTGGCATCAGGTAGACAGCACCTTAGCTGTCAGTGCCAATTGTCTGTATTTGTCTGCCTCAGTGTTATGTCTAAAATTTAAACGTAAAAACTTAGGAAGAGATTTTAAAGCGGCGCTTAAGTCGGCATCGCCATGGAGTCTTGTGGCTGTGGGACTGATCCTAAAAGCAAATTAGGCACAATTGTCATTCAAATGATGCCGTCGCAGGACATGGCGGGCGGGTATTGTCCTTGTCAGGCGAATGGTGCGCAGCAGCAAAGTAATAATTCAGCGACCCAGACGCCAACCTGCATGGGTAACTGTGGTTGCCCCAATACGTCTGCGCTCTCATCGACAGTGACATCGGCAAACAATAATATTTGCGGATGCCAGCAGCTCCAAGAGTTGCTGGCCCAAGCGCAGATGCCGCTATCCACGCTAAGCAATTGTGCTTGCTCCTGCGCCTTTCCGCAGAATCCAACACCACAGCCAATGTATCAGCAACAGATGCAACAACAAATGCAACAGATGCCGTGTCAAATGATGCCTCCGATGCGGGCCAATCAGCCTCAGCCGCCGCCAAGCGTCTGCTGCTATCAGGTGCCATGTACTCCATGCGCCCCATGTGCACCCTGCGTACCCAACGTGACCTTCCAGTGCGACAATTACAGAGGCACTACCAGTGGAGCCCCCAATGTGACGGTGCAATGCGACAATGGCAGGGGAAGTCGATGCTGCATGCTGAATCCGCCATCCTCATGGCCGTGTCCATGTCAACAGCCTGAAACGGAAAATGGAAAGGTGCAATCGGTGAGCTATCAAGTCCACTACATGTTCTGTCGGGATGAACAGACTCAGGCGGATGAGGCATGTGTTTGCAGTAGAATTCCACGAACTTGCGGCTCCTTCGGCGATGTTCGTGGTGATGGCAAATCTTGCTGGAGGGCTAGGGAAATGCCCTGCAGGGCTGACAAGAAAGCCTCTGCGAAGAAGAAGAAGAAAATGGTCTGCAAAATGCATCTAAAGCCGCAAAAGGCAACGACCTTGCAAGATTCTACTAGTTGCGATTGCAATGGGTCCGATGAATCTTTCGATGACGACGGTGCTGATACTTGCAACATTTGCATGGGAGGAGTACCTGATTATGTAGTCGCTCCTTGTGGTGGAGGAGCAACTACCTGTGGCGCAGGAGCAACTGCTTATGGCGGAGAAGCAACTACTTGTGGCGGAGGAGCAACTACTTGTGGGGGAGGAGCAACTACTTGTGGGGGAGGAGCACCAACTTGTGCAGCAGGCGCAACTAGTTGCGCCAGAGACGCAGGTGCATCGACAATGGCTCAGTGCATGAATCAAATTTGTGAGAACAACGGGGGCTCTGACTGCATGAACAGCATTTGCGAATGCGTTGGTCGCATGGTGGCAGCAGCTGCTGTGGCTGCAGCCAAAGAGGCCTCGGAAAACAATGGCCGTCACTCGAAGGCACATAAAATAGTGCATGCTCCCCCAATTCTATCAGCACGACAATCGTACCAGCCGGGTGGTTCGACGCGTACATCAGATAATGCCAACCAGGGGCCAGCCCGGAATTGGGCGGGCATAGAGAGCTCAGGCACCGATTCCTTGAGGCGTCCATCTATAGCGGCCATTCGCCAATCTTGGGCACCCACAGATCAGACGTTTTTGCCAAATACTGCCTGGCTGTCCGAACCAACTAGTCCCCAGGAGTCCACACACTCACAAGCTTCATGGCACTCACCGACCGAAAGGGGTTCTCCGTACAGTCCAACCGGGCAGCCACATACCATTGTGCTATCAAATCCCTTCCCGCATCCATTTCCCGATGGAATGGTGAAGCAGCGACGCTCGCGTGCCATACAAACACAGCACCTTGACAGCGCACATCGTGGACAGTTCAGCTATTATACCGACAATAATTGCACACAGACGGACAACGGATCGCATCAGTCACATGTTGCGCACATAAAGTCCAGCTCGAAGAGTCATAAAATTGATCCAGTAAAAGTGTTGGCCAAGATGTTGGAACGTTCCACATCAGTACACCCGCCTTCCGTATCGTCCAGCAAGGCTTCTAGTCAGAGGACTTCGGCGACAACAAAGCTGCGCACATTGAGTTCAAAAAACTACCGAGCCGAGCCCCGACATGCAAAACAAAAAACGGAGATGCTTCAAAATCGGGCACCACCAATAGGAAAAAATCACTCGGATACTAAGCATCCGCACAATTCATCCACTGGTGAGAAGGAGAAGAGGCAGGTATCCGGCTCCACTGCTGTCGAAATGATTACATCTATCTCAGATGTGGAGGCACCACCCACGGATAACGAAGACGGGTCATGGAAACAGGCGTCAACTGATATCGAGAGCTCTACCTGTTTCATAAACAACTCGAGCCATGATACCAAAATTGAAGTCGACATAGCTAATAGCACCGAAAATTCGGGGAGCAACATTACGGCCGTGATTGAGCCACACATAAGCACCCAATCCAGCCTTGATAGGTATTCCAGCAAACGAACTGGCCACACCAGCTGCTGAGTGTTGATTTTAATTTAATATAGCACATTCCCTATTTCCGCATTTCGGTTTGTTCAAAATATATACAATAGCCCAATACATACAGACAAAAGCAAACTTCTTTTCCTTTATTTAAAACGAAACCCTGCTAGCACCGATCAGGTTTAACAGATCAAGGCACAGTTGTTGTAAAATTTTCAAGTAATCCCTTTGATACACAAAAAAAAACTCAAAACTTGAAAATATATATAAAAAAACATAGCATTATGGAGAAAGCACATCAAGATGCGTTGTTGGTCTTGCGCGAAATGGAAAGCGTTCGCTGGTACCGAGGACTGTCAACTGAACAGCTCCAGGCGGCGGAAAATCTGCGTCCCGCTATACGCGATGATACCGAGCAGGGCACCACATACCGTGTGGAAAGGTGCCTTCACTCATTGGGTGTGAGTCCAAAGATCCCATCCAGATACCTCAAGATTGTTATGAATGTGAGTCATGGCAACAATTTGGCCTTTCTCTGGTTCCTATGGGAAGCCTACTATAAGCGAAAGAATGGAGAAGATATTGAAAACAAGTACTATAGCGTGACCGAGCAACTGATTCTTTCTGCCATCGCTCATCTCGATATGCCTGCGACAATGCGAGAACTCGATCAGATATTGCCGCCACCCTCTTGCTCCAAGAAGTTTCAGGATGCCGAACGCCGTCGGATTCAAGCTCGCAATACAGCCAAGGAGAAGCGTGAAGGTACTAAGCTCAGTGATTACGTTTTACCCTACTTTGCACCGCAGCCACGACCAAATGCCACAGCACCCAAAACCTTGCTCTCATATCAGACACGCAGGTGGTACTTCCCTGAATACGCACACTTCAAAAATTTGCCAAGCCAGGGCAAAGAAGCTGCCGCGCATTGGTTCATCAACTATAAGCTGTCACCGGGCAAGCGCATCACCAAAAAAATACTCAGCTCCGAAATCAATCGTCTGTTCTTTCACGATGGCCCAGTTACTATGAATGAGCAGGAGGAATCGGTGCTTTGTTCTACCCATCGTTCCCAACAGCATTTGCTGGAGCTGAAGAAGGTGCGCCTAGCCGGAGGAACCTTGAATCGCTGCATGGAAATGCTTGATGTGCCGGCAGAGAAGCGGGAAAAGCAGACGCGGCGCATTGTGCGCCAGTTGGAAAGAGAGATTGAAGATGCCGAGGTCTCATGGCGACAATACGCGCTACGCCAATACACTCTACTCTACAAACTAAGTGGACCAGATGCGGACTGCAAGTTGTGCCAACATCTAATGTCTTTGCCGCCTGTGGGTCCGCGAAAAAAAGCCGATCTATCGCTGCTTATCGATCTGAACCTAAAGAAGACCACCGCTACTCTGCCTGGATCAAAGGAGCCGGCCATTAAGGTGCTGAAGGTACGCGCTAAGGGCGAGGAAGCCCCCACCACGGAATGCAAGGAGGTTGTGCTCAACAAGAAGACGGTACAAAAAGTAGAAACTCTGCAGCCCAAGAGACATCGTAAGCCAATAAGCAGTCGCAGAGGTAGTCACAGCAGTCGCAGTCGCAGCAGCAGCCGAGCCAGTTCTACTAGTCGTCGTATCCTAAAGCCCTTGCCAGCTGAGAATGCGCCAGTGCCAGTGCCAGAGCCGGAACCTCCAAAACCTCTGACTACAGACTTTAAGAACCTCAGTGATCTCATACCGGAATGCAGTCGCTTAAAGCCCTTTCGGGTGGTCAGAGAAGAAGAAAAGAGTGAGCAAACAATAGACACATGGGACTCCTTTACCAGTCAGTCGATATTCAACACGCCGCAATTGGACTACTTCAAGATCTTTGATCTGCCGGGAATGCCTCCCCTGACCGAAGCAGAAGTGGCTCTGGCGGAGAAACAGGGTGAATACCAAATAGATGACAAACAGCCAATAATTAAACAACTCTGCATCGATGCCTTGAATAAAACAATTGAGGACGATGATAAGAAACTTGAGTGCCAAGCAGCTCAGGCAATGCAATGCAGACAACCTCAGACAACTCCAGCAGTTAGAGGTTGGTTGTCTCAGTTTTTTGACGGGACTGTAACAAATGCTGCCGATATGTGTGCGATTAAAATGCTAAAACAGAATCTACAACGAAAGCCAGAAGGAACGACAAGTGACCCTGATCCTGAAGCAGCGTGTGACGAGTTCAATGTGTTGAATATAAAAACCGTCGATCCAGACGATGAACAGCTTTTAGCGACGTTGCTCAAGGCCGGGATAAAACGAATGAAGCGTAATCCTGCCTTCGTTCTAGCATCTATGCCGAATGCTCATAAGATGCCTATTCTACTGAATTGGCTGGCCGATCGGTATGGCAAGACCTACACCATCAATGAAATAGACGAAATGGTGAAAACCTCGACCTACATGTACGACGCGGCCGAGCAAATGCTCAAACAATTTTCACCCATTTTGGAATCAGTTCCTAGGCGTAAGCACTTCATGAGCCCTGCCGAGAAAGCAGAGTACGTTGAGATGTGCGAGCAAATACGTGGAAAGTACGAGGAGGAGATCAATAGACAGGCCATGGAGGAAGCACGCCTCATTTGGCTAGCATTGCGTGGCTATGCGCATATTCAGGGCTGTCGCCTGATTAGGGACACCTTCTTTGCATACATGCCATCCTGTGAGGACGACATAAAGCGCTACAAGGCATCCACTGCCAAAAACAAACGGGACATGATTAACATGCGCATGTATATGCGATTAGCAAAAGAATAATCTCGCTGGGCAATGGAGTGCTAGGCAGTGTCGGACGTACTGCACAGTCGTCCAGATACTGTCACTTCATTGCCCACTGAGAAATGGACAGATGGTCAAAATTATGGTCACAAAGAAATTTTAGCGTTTTAATATAAATATTATTTATTAAATATTTTTATTGTTCTTTTTATAACTTTTTACACTCTCTCTGTAAATACCAAGTTTTAAAGTGAAACTTCTTATATGAGCGTTTTAAATGCTGGATCGGCAACCTTTTCTGTGACGAAACGAATAGCATTGTAACAGACGTACATAAATGAACAGCAAGTAGACCAGCTGACGAATTGGATATTATAAATGTAAACAAAAATGGTATGACGGTACAATCTGAAATATATACAAACTTGGTGTTCTAGTTCGCATATTTTACAACACAAGGCTGCACGATCCTAATTGTCAAATACGCAATCAGCAATAGCTGATTTGCCTTCTGCTGGCTTATGCCCCTGGTAGATTTTTAGAGTTGCCATTTCTTGTGGGGTTTAGGGGACTCCAGGAATATTTTTAATGAAAAACAAACTGCGTTTCTAAGCGGTTCTTCTAGCCATTAGCCGATTTTCTATCTGTATTTTGTATTAATTTTTCAGCATATTCTAGCTGGGTTTCTAACCAATTATCGAGAGTTTTCTAGCCGTTTTAGTGGACGTTCTGTCCAGTCATAGTGGATTTTCTAGCAAGGTTTCTAGTCATTTTTATTGGAATTTTAATATATTCCACCCCCTTACAGTTGTGTTTCCAATCATTTATTTATCGATTACCGATAGCGATAGCTCTTTTCATTTAAGCCTTTCTATTTAAGCCATCAATCATTGTTGAGTAATGATATAGGCTCCTCTTACCAATCAAAAAACAAAATTAACTCAAATTAAATTACTTCAACATAACCACGTAGTTTCATTTCTATCGAGAAGAAAAAAATATTGCAATGTTAAGAACTTTCGGACCCCAAAAAAAACCAGTGCATTCCTAACCTTTTCCATTTCCTCCAGACGGCACTATGTTGATGTGATTTAGTCACATTTTTTGCATAGCTTAGGTCTCCCGCAGAATGAAAATTGTTTTAATTTGCTCTACTCGTACGTTTTTACGACCCACTTGAGTAAATTGTTTTGTTTCTTTATTTTCATCGAGCATCTATACATATATTTGTGTATTTAGTACATCGTGTGTTTAGCCGTGATTTGTGTAATTAGCAGAGATTGCTCCGATTGCAGCCATTGCCATCTGCCATAAATACGAAAACCATATTTTTCATCGACGACGCTGACGTACAAAACAAAAACAAAACTAAAGAAAAGAAGAGGAAAAAACAAACGAGGGAACAGATCAAGTAATCTAATTATGCGCGGCTGCAGACATAAAATGGGAGGCAAACGGAAATCCAGTCAGAAGGAGAACGTGGGGGGCGGCTGCGGCTGCGGCCACATACTACATACACATACATACATATGCCGAAGTAAAATTTATAGCAATAGCGGCCGGCCAGCAACAATAACAACAACTAAGTAGAGCCGCAACAAACTACATTTTATGGCAACAGAAGCGGCGCAAAAAAGTCTACAACAGCGGCGGCACAAACAACATGTGGCTGTGGCAGTGGCAACCAAAACACTTGACCAACACGCGCGTTGCCAAGTTGCGGCGTTGGCGGTAGCGGTGGCGGTGGCGTTGGCGGCAATGTCTTTACAGCTGTTGACGCTGTTGACAGCGATGCCTGCGTCAGCGCCAACGCCACCGTCAACGCGAACGCAGCCGGCAACATTTCGGGCCACTTAAGGGTGGCTTTTTCCTACGCAGCTGCTCCCTGCCTTGCCACTTGTCTGCCGACGTCGACGTCGGCTCCGCTGTCGCTGGCGCTGGCGCTGTCTCGTTGCTGTTGCCTTCGCCGTGGCTGCGACTGCGGCTGTCGCTGCCTTTCAGCCATCAAGTGGATTTCAGTTTCATTTTGAACGTCGTGCGTGTCGAGTACGTGTTCCTAGCGCGCGCGCTCTCGTCTTTTGCTCCAACGTCGTCTGTGCCGTGCCGTGCCGTTGTCTTGGCCTGGCCAACACAATTGCCGTAATCAGCGCGCGTGTGATCCAAGTAGCTTTGAATAGTAAGCACAAGTTGATGAATTTCAGCTCGAAACAAAAGAACCAAGTGAAAAGCGAGTAATACGCTCAAACAAATTATAAGTAAGCAAAGCCAAAAGGTGGAAAATATTCAAAAAGAAATTATAATAATAATAAATAATCATTACAATTTTAAAGTGGCATTATAAATTAAAATGAAATCACAAGTTTCAAAAATAAAAATTCCATAAAATTTGAAAACCCATTAAAAAGTATTGACGGAAAATATAAAAAAAAAAACCTTGTAAAATTTATAGAAAGTTTAAAAACATACTCGATCTTTTAACACTTAAATACATTAAACATAAAGCTGAGCCAGAAAATTATAAAATGTATAAATCAAGTATTTTATATAAAACAAAATAATTAAATTACTGCTATAAATATTATAAATATTATTAAAGCTATAAATGGAATATTAAATCTTAAAGCAAAAATAGTTTTACTTTTCATAGTTTCTATTTATAAAATAATACATTTTAACCTTCAAGTTCGTTTCCAGTTTTCCTGTTCCTTAAAAATAAACAATTTAATGTTATGGAAAATTTCCATCGACCTTACACAACATGTTTTGTAATAACTATACCTACATACGAGTATATAACTATTTCAACATGGCAATTCTTGAAATAATAAATTTATGTGAAAAAATAACAACAAATTAAATATAATTTGCTTGTCAAATCAAATCTTTCGTTTTTGAAAGTTTTTTCGTAAATGAGCAAACGTTGAAAATATGTGTGCTAAAAGCGAAAATTATATATATATGCAAATGTAGATATATAATAGTATATATAAATCGGTGTGTCTCAGCAAAAGTCGACAGCAGAATTATATCATAGCCGCTTTAGTTTTAAAAATAGCGTGCCACGATTTTCTCATTTTTCTTTCAGCGCGTATAATTCATGCAAAAAATGTGTCATGCTCTGCAAAATGAAAAAACTGAATTTCGTTTTATATCTTTCTGTGTTTTCGAAAAGTAAAAATCGGCTGAGACTTATATACAACGTACATATGTATGCTAGCGCTCACGCAAAATAGTTGGACAGGAAAATAAAAACCAAAATCTTGTACATTCAAAAAAATATAGCATATGCTCCAATAATATTCACTTGTGAGCTATGTGGTGATAAATCAAGGTACAAACATAGCTTCTTGCTTATGTTTTGGTCAGTTTACGACTTGATAAAAATATGATAAATGTATTCCTAATATTTTCGAAGGTCAAGTTCTTTGGTACTTTAATTCTCAATTCAATTCAAGCTAGATAGATATGTACGTTTGGTGGGGAGTAGCCAAAGCTTCAGAGAAAAAGAGTTTTTCAGGAGTAATTCAAGCAAATAAAATAATGGCTTATTATTTTGTGAACTCATTAGAAATTATTAAAAGATATTAAATATCGCGATCAGCTAAATAACGTGTTAGATAAATAATTCGTAGTCGTTGTTATAAATACAAATGTAGCGATTCTTTAAAATTATATAAGCTTGTATTATTTAATTTATTGCCTTTGAAGACAGTGGGGTAGAAAACATGTCATTTTGAGAGTAACAAAAAAGGCTGGGACTACTTAAAGATACTTTGCCTGTCTTAACCGAACAATTTAGTAACCTTTTGCATTAAAATTGTTTCTTGTCAATAGTATTTAACCATTTATTTTGAAACGCTTAGCGAATGTCATTTCCAAAGGATTTTAAGTTAAAAGGCACAGCCGCTAACACATCCATATTGTTTTTTATTAAGCCCAATGTATTTAGTTTTTTATTTGAAATTTAAAGCCAATAATAAAAGAATAAAAGTGCTTTTGTGTTGAAATAAGCATTATGGAAAATGCCATTAACCCATACCGTGCCCATATGCCAACTTTCTGTCACCAGTCGCTGCCAATTTTCGTGTATCCCAGGAATCAAAAGTTTTCGTTTCACGTTTTTGGTAAAACACAAAAAAGAAAACAACGTTAGGCTCAAACCGTGCAATGATAACAAGAAAAAAAAAAACAACAACCAAAAAATACGGTGGCAAGAACATTTTGTGCACATTTTAATTCACGGTTCGATGACCACAGCGGAAATTCCTTTAATGACCACATGCGACGACGCGAACAATGATGTGGAATGGCGAGGTGGTGCGGGACGGGACGTCAGGGATGCGCAGACAAGTGCACGTGTGTCAGTCGTCGGTGCGTGGCTTGGGCTGGGCTGGGCTGGGCTGGTCTGGTCTGGTCTGGTCTCAGCCAGGTTGCTTGTTGATGAGGATTGTGGTGGTAGTGGCAGTGGCAGCGGTAATGGCAACGGCGATGCCGGTGTCGTTGGCTGCGGTAGTAACTTGAACCCTTGTCGGCCTAAATGCGACCGATGTTGTTATTGTTGTTGGTGCGAGTACTGCTGCCTGGGCGGCTCATAAAACGCAACGTTGCATTTCATTTAGGGACGTTTATTTAACGGTTTTTTACATTTAAAAAAATGTTACTTCAAGGCATTTGCGTTAAATATTTAAATTCGAAAAATGAAAAAGAGCGCGCCAAGATAATTTTGAAAATTTAAATTGCAAATTATACGCACCGTTTCACATACGTTGTACGTTAGGGAGGTGTGGTGACTCGTATGTGTGTGTGTGTGCGGATGTGTATGTGCGGGTGTGTGTGTGTGCGTGTGTGCGGGTGTTTAATGTGCGCTACGTGCTAGGCGAGCGAATTGGACGACAAGCCGGCTAACCAACTAAGCCGAGAGATTTCCCAATTTTATATAAAGTTTGAGCTTGTAATTAGATTTTATTAGCATCTAACATAGAATTTGCATTTATTTTAGAACTTCATAAAGCTGAGCTTATGACACATAAGTCCAAATATGCCGGATCAACATGATTTACCTGAAAATAAAAATAATAAGAATCGAATTAGAATGTGTGCATATATTTTTATTGTAGTTAACTGATATAAGCCCATATTTAAATACAATGTAAGAAGAATGCAGGCTAATATTTTGTCTAATCAGCAAAGGCAAAATATGCTCTCTACTTTTATTCTTCTAGGCCTATAGATTGTAGTTGGGTATATAGAGTCCTTGCGAAGAATTGTGCGGCAACTCTTTCAAAACTGATTAAACGTTAAATTTTTCCAAGACATATTAAAGCCAACTAAAAACACTTTATTGTACACATTTTTTTCGACTGTACACAATTATAGAATTTTGAAATAATTTGGACGATTTCTTAATTTTTACTCTATACCAACTCTTCCGTATACATTATATTCCAAATCAGTTTAACTTTTAATTTGTTGACTCAATATTTAATGCATTCTTAACTAGTTTTAAGCCGATTTCTACCCTCGTTAACTCACTCAAATATGAATATCAGACGAATGAAAATCCATACATATTATTAGTTATCTAACCGACTATTTATGACCATTCACAGCTAAATGCTCCAAAAACTATTAAACAAAACTTTCCTAATAGACAGACCTGTCCATTACAAAGTCCGTCACATTTTTCATAAGTTAAATAGTTGTACAGAAATGTTGATCTTCTTTGGAAATGTCAACCCACATAGCTCAAAATGTACTTACAGCTTCCGATTCATATATTCTATATTCTCGAACCTGCAGTCGCAACGGCATTTGGTTCTCAGAGTCTCTTACCGACTTTAACGTTTTAATGACATCCGATATGAACTGACTATCGATAAAGCCGTAGGTTATTTCAATTATCTTAAGCTTGGTGCAGTTCTCAAGAATATTTAAAAGGATCGACGAATAATTGAGACCGCAAAAGCAGTTAATCTGTAGTTCTTCGAGACTTATGAGTTGGATCAAAGGTCCCATGGATTGGGCATCTTTAAAATATCCCGTTAACTTCGTAAGTGACTTCAAACTGCCAATTGCATTAGTTGATGCAACATCCATAGGAATATTGTTAGTGAATTGTTGCAAGTAGTCCAATTTTCCAGAGCTGCTTACTACCCTTAAGAGATTGTTCATCGAAACGTGGGTGTGGGCATACTTGTAGTCTATAATGCGTTGTTTTATAAAACGCGATTCATCTCTTTCAAATAAATCGAGTACGTATTCATCGGTGAGGCGCACAGCTCGTAATTCTGGATTTGATTTGAAGCATTCTATCAAATCTACTGCATCGATTCGGTAATCAACCGAAAGTTTTTGAAGCAGTTTTAGGCTGCTTAGGCATTTGAGAGCACGCGTTGAACGTTTTCCTAGAATTTAATCTTATCATAAGGCCAAAAAATTGCATAGTACCATACCGATAATTTTGAGATCTTTCAATGCGGGCAAGTCTGTTAGTGCCATTAAAATCTGAGCCAATAGTTTGTTGAGTCGATCCACATCCTCATTGTTCATTACTTTATCCTTATAAGTATGTTCTATTAAGCAGAGTCTCTTCAATGCCTTCATGCGTTTGATAATGCTGCCAATAATGGCAGCCTCCTCGATCATGTACGCTCTGAAGGTCATTTTAAATATTTCGATATCCTTGCAGCCCAGCAAAAGCTCCTGTCGACTGCGTTTCGATTTTATATTCCACCAATATTGCCATTCATATATGGGATTTGCCAATTTGTAATTTTCCAGAACCAATTGTTGAAATTGCACGCACACGTGAGAGAGCTTGAATTTGTCCTCAACCTCCAAATAGTCAATTAGGGATTTCAGACAATACTCATTAAGTTGCAAGATATGCATTTTGTAGAGCCGGGTCTCAGATTGCAAACAGAAAAAAACTCAAATCTATCGAATTTTTAATAACAAAAATCTCACGGCACGTTGTGATATTCAAATTCGAAATGTGATTAATAAATATTTATCCACTGATTTATTAAATTAAATATAGATAGAGAGCTATTTACCTGGCAATTTTGAAAAGAAGAACCAAATGATGAGAGAACCAGAAGTACAAAATAAATATAGAATCTGGCGTAATTTGCCTTTTTACTAATTTTCTAATTTTAAATTTCTATCAAATGCAATGAAACGGCAACGTTTAAGAAAAAATTTCAATTATAAATAAAATTTACAAAAATGATGAAGCATTAAAGCACTTTACATG